TCTCTCTCTCTCTCTCTCTCTCTCTCTCTCTCTCTCTCTCTCTCTCACACACACACACACACACACACACACACACACACACACATCACGCACGCATGTGTGTGTTGGTGAAATTGAAGTATTGCGAAATTGAAATATTGGGTCGGTTTTGAAATCTTATGCGAGTGCTTTTATGATGAATTCACTGATGTAGCTTCTGTGTTAAAACTTTTATATTCTAAAGCATCCCTTCAAAGTTCTAACTTTGCGTTTACGCCGTTCTAGTCTTATCAATCAAAATTATCTCATCCACAAACAACATACACTATGGGATTTCGTCCTGTAGTGCCTAGCTAGCTGATCCATAACCAAAACAAAGAGATATGGGCTCTCTCTCCTCTTTGTACACACACACACCCACCCACACCCACACACACACACACATATAAACACAAGTGAGTTAGGGCACATCAGATTACCAGACTACCCTTTGTTCATAATGATTTGCAAAGACTGCACTTATACATAACAAATATTATGGACATTTATTCTTGCCCTTAGTTGTTCCTGACAGAGAGTTTATGTTTAGACATAAATTTAAACTGCATGATCCGATAGCCAATCTGACAATATTGCATGTGATTAGCTGCCTCATTTGCTAATTGACAAATAACTAAACAATATTCTTGTTGTTTCTTAAGTCAAGCAGGAAATGATGTCGTCCACAAAATTATAAATATCTTCAGAATATTCCAGGACATCGTTCTCATTTTCTTCCAATCTTGAACTGGCCGCAATCAAGGATATGGACTGGGCCATTTTCTTCAGAACATGAAGGTCCACTATCCGATATTCTGTGTTTCTTGGTTCTCTTTTGATTTCTAGTAGGAACAAAAACTAGGATCCAATGTCAAGTCATTCACTAAATGAATATGGAGCCATGTCTCCCCTTTGCAGTGAGATAACTCGGTTGCATGCTTTGCTTCACAAGCTTGAGGTGACTGCCTTCTGTCCCTTGTCTCAGTATGGAGAAACTGTCAATGTTATCTGGATTACTAGATATCCAGTATTTAATGTCCAAACTAAGACTATTGGAGCCATCATCCATTTCTCTAAACTTCATTTTACGACTGGGATTATTTCACTGCCTTCAGATTGCAAGCATTTTCATAGGATAACCACAGCGAGATCACATGTGTTTGGTTAGCCAATTGAGACTAGTTGATCTTGAAGCATTGTTTTTATGGTGGGTTGAAAAGCAGCTATTGGCATACATATAAATATGGACTTTGGTTTAATCCTTGCATGCCTGTCATACCATTGATGTAACGAAATTTCTAACATTTTTCTCTCCCTGAAATAGTCATTGGTGAATAATTTTCTCTCTGTTATATTTTGACGAGCTTCACTGAAAGCTGTCAATATAATATTTGTGCTCGACCATATATAGTTAATGATATGACTGCTAATAACCATTACTGCTGCAAATTGAAGGCCCTGCATAGACGATGGCTAAAAGTTCCCTACTGTTCAAATGAATGATTCTTCATCAATAAGGGAGTACAAGAAGCTTAAGAATGTCAGTGGATTGTGGGCAACCATGAACTTCTTTGATTAATGACTCCTATGTTAGCTTTATTATCTTGTCTTGCACGAAAACTGTCATGATTATGTTTGATGTTCATATACACTTACGAAATTTATCATACTATTTCCAGATTGTAGCAGTTGAGATCCCTCAGTCCATATTTGAGGAGCAAGGCCGACAACTTTATGGAGCCAGGCTTCTACAACTGCAGGTTTAAGGATTTGGGTCTCGGTTTCCTCTAATGCCTTGCCATTACACTTTATTTAGCGAATATTGTGTTGCATCTGCAGGCAAACATGAAACTAAGTGAACAGCAGCTGGCATCACTTTCAAGTGAAAAAGCCGTAAATGAGTATTTGGACAGCCAGAAAGAGAACATAACAAATCTAGTAAAACAGATGCTTGCTGTTGGTGAGATATATAAACGTGAAAATTTGCAGGTTAGTCTGACATTGGTACCTTTTATTTTGATTTGTAACTGAAGATGGAAAGATTGTATCGGAAGTAATATTAGTAGGATTTAGGAACCATATTTCCATGTGTCTTCGCATCTCGAAGGAAACTAATGTTTTCATGTCTGGCTGATTGAGTTGTGATGTTTCTTTACTTGTACCTGACATCTGACATCATGGTCACAACCCAAATGATAGATTTCTCTAATTTTTTTCTTTTTTTTTTAAGCCTCTTCTGGGTTACTTTGGTTTTTTTGTTTCGTTATGTTTTGCTTTACATTTTCACAGCCATATATTTTAAGTTTGTAACCTGCATCTGGTGGATGAATGATTGAGACCTTTACCATATTACATTGAAATTTTGTTCGTGATACAGAGAATATGAACAGTTATATTGTCCTGTGACATGAGAAAATATTGAGGCAGTTTGGCAGAAGGCCTATGAACTACCTGATTGACTGACATATACATACATACACGGACACACACGCAAACACACATAGAGAAGATGGTTTGCTCAAGGAGAGAGAAATTGGGGCACTTTTAGCCATCTTTATGTGGTATTATTAGATCTAAGGTTAGATGTGCCTAAAATCTGTTTTTTTGTTTTTGGGGATTTGTTCATCTAGTGCTTTTAGTACTATCCCAACAATTTAAGGTCGTACCAATTAAAAAAGAGGGCTGGTTTTGAGAGTGGCGAACACAAGGGGCAGGATAATGTATCTCCAACACACATACAGATGTGCGTATGTGTGTGTTGCTGAACTTTTCAAGTACTGTAACCAATTTGTGTTGGGTACTTTTTGTTGGTCACTGATTCCCCAACTTAGTTTTGAGTTTGATGTTTGCTTATGGCCTAAAAGAGTATGTATTGTAAACTTTAGACGATGCTTCTTTTTCTACTTATGGACTAGTTTTTGCAACCTTACTTGTCTAGCGATAAATCATTTGTCTGAAGTCATTTGTTTCTCATAATTTACGCTTGGGGTTTTTCCAGCTACGGCAATGGAAGTAGAACTATTGAAATTTCTAACATGACTTTAGTACATTTATCCTTAAACATAGGTTTGTGAGATGCGAAAACTCTTGTAAAATACTCATAGAACATCCAGATCATTGTTGGGATCTGGTGATCCATGTTGGTCCAATCATTTAAAAATACAGGAAATGTGTACATGTTTGACCTTGTAAAGATGCTTCACTTATTAAGGATACTAGAAACTATTATGCTTGTCCTTGGAAAGACATGCATCAAGAGATGAAAGGTAGTTCTGAAAAGGAAAGTAATTGCAAGGCCGTGGAAATGGAGAAATAAAGGAAACGAGAGGAAAACGGTAGGCCGCAGAGGAAGATGTGGTTCTTGGAGCATAGAGTGCTTTTAGCTTCAATAGAGCTACGATAGCTTCAAGCTTACTTCAGCCCTGATTCATTTCTGTTGGCTGAATTATTCTGTTTTTTTTTTATTTTTATATTTTTTATATTATCCTTTCCTTATTTACTCCTGATAGAGCGGAATGGTGGACCTGGATTCATGTAGCCGAGTCCAAATAGTTGGGAAAAGGCTCTGGTGATGATGTTGATTTCCCTTCTTTTCTTTGCTTCAACTGTGTCTCAGTCTTGTCCGTCATTTCAGCTTAAAACACTGAACTTTAACAAGGAAAATTGATCCAAGAAACTGAACTCTTTCCTTTGCAGATTTTTGTCGTCTTTTCATTGTTATATATGTTTCTATGTTCGAACAATCTGTTTTTAGTACTGTGATTCATTGGGCAAAGTGAAACATGGCACTTTAAACCAGTTCTAATCACTTGCCAAGCCAATCTTAAAATTTAGCATTCATCTGCATTTCAGTATTCATTAGAGGAGCTGGAGAAAGAAGTACAAAATTCAGTTGCAGAATTCAAAAGCCATGATCAGGAATATGATGAGAAACGTGTAAGGGAACAGGTAAAAGTGAACTCATCTATTGGTAGACGTGTGTTTTGTTGACATCAATGAGAATGAAGGAAAGGAAAACGTGGATGATTGTCCCAGAGCCTCATGTATTTGGTTTCCTGTGCTATATAGGTCCAAGATATTCTTGAGGGAGCGAAAGTGTTGGAGTGGTTAAGAGAACATGCAGATATCCAATATGTAACCAGGTAAGATAGTGTAAAGCCATTTTCTTGTGTGATTTTTTTTTCATTTTGAGGCACAAGTCAGAAAATGTAGAGACCTTTAAATAAGTTACGAATAAAAGGGAAGTTATCTTTGTGGTTGGACTTGTTATCTCTGTTTTCATGTTACCTGCTTTACGTGGAGGTTAAGCTTATTGAGATCATTTTAATTTTTTCTTCTTTCTTTCTTTTCTTTTTGTTTTTGACATGGATTTACATAACTTTTGGAGGGATGGGAATAATGGGTGTTTTTCATTTGGAAAAGAGAATCCTCATGGCCACTTTCTTCTCTGACCTGCGGTCTTTAGATCACTTTCTTCCTAAGTGAGCCTCTCTCGAGTGTCCTCTTTTAAGTGAGCACCTTTAAGATTACTGCATAACTCATTATTTTGTTTGCGAATGTTTCCTAAGTGCCCAATGTCAACTTAGTCAATCATTTTGGATTAAAATTTAATCAACCTGCAAATTTTTCGGCAATATGGGATAAAATTACGTGGTGTAGCTACTTGAGTTGGCATTAAGTTTAGGGATTGTATACTATGAGACAATTTACCATTATTACAAGGTCACAACCACTCCATGTCAAATTTGAATGGCGTAGGGTATGTCATGAAGTTTTGATTATTTTTCTTTTTTTTTGTAATGTTGAGTCTAGTCAATGAATACGAGTGATTGTGACCTCTTTGTAACCACTTTGTAATAAAAGTAAATTGCCTCTTTGTATACTTTTCCTTAAAGTTCTTATGAAGTGCTTTGCTTAAGTATGTGAAAAGGATGCAATGAAAGTTGTGAGAGGGTGAGCAATTTCTACACTTATGTAGAAGTCTTTCTTATAATTTTTATGGATATCAAAATGTAATGGGGAAACTTTTGGTGTCCTTAAAAGAACACCAAAAAAACATGTTTCCTCACCTCAAAAATCACTAACTTTGGTGCGGGCGAGGGACTCAAGGAAGCTCCCGTCACCTCCGGATCATGATACTCCTTGTAAGATTTGATTTGGAGCAGCAAAAACAGCTCCAAGTACGTGAGCTTCACGTCCATTCAAATCCATCCAATGGGTGGCCTGTACTTGATTGCCTCGGCAATCAATGATACATCCCCAGCCACTTGATTTCATATTTAACGATCAATGGTAAGTGTAACTATAAAAAAGTTAAGGTTCTTATCATATATATTTCCTATTTAGACTTCCCCTTACCTTAAAAGTGGCCTCCGAGGCATGTAGAATGCCAAATTTGGTGTGCCCGTGGAGCACTTTAGGATTTCCCCGACAAATTTTTTTTCTGATATTGACCTCTAGAGAGTCCTTTTGTAAATTCTATAAGTTGGGGACAACGACCTTTTTGTAACATATAGACACTCCCTCCGTCTTTGGTGCATTCATTGCCTAGGGGGGTTCACCTTAGGGATGCGTCCCCTCATCTTTGTTGCAAGGATTATGTACGAATTTTGTACAAAAGACGAGGGTTATGGAAAATTACAAATAGCCCCCAAAGCAGACTTTCCAACAACCTCCCCTAATCACTTTTTTTTTTCCGCAATTTTTATCTAAAAACTATCTTTTGTAGTAAATACCCCTGCCAAGTAAAAAAAAAAAAGTCAAACAAATACCAAAATGCCATTAATCCGGCACTTGTAAATGTGATCCTGCAACATGTTTCACGCGGTCCGCTGTATCATATTTGCCATACAGCTTGGCAGATTTTCTTGCAAGGCCTATGGTCCAGATTTTCCTAAAGCGGTTCGGCAATATATGTTATCAGTTTGGCACTATGATGCCTCGGTTTGGCATAAATTGCATGCGTTCCTACAGTTTGTTGCTGCAGTCCGGTAGTTAATGTGTTATCGGTTCTGGTCTGGCAGTAACGTGTGCTAGACCGTCTTTGGAGATTGAGTGTCTATGGGAATATAACACCTTCATGTACGGGGAAGGGTATTTTTGCCCTCCAAACTATTATCTTTTGACTTAGGGGGCATTTGCTATAAAGCTTAGTTTTGGGGTAAAAGTGGTGATTAAAAGATTGGATAGGGGGATAATGTAAAGGGCCCGGTTTCTATGCGGTTCACATGTAGAAATGCGGGCTCATTAATAAATCTATTTTTGAGTTGCATTTTTGCACATAATTTTTAAGGACATCTAATACGGAGATCATGAATATGAAAAAATAAATAAATTTTGAAAACTAAAAACAATAATTCTAATAAAAAAAACATTTGGACCGTTAGCTTCTACTGTTTTTAGATGAAACACCTATTTGCATCCATCTTTAAGATGGATGCTTAACACTTTTTGGACCGCATATGTCATGCGGTCCAGCCCGTATGAAACAATTTTCCTAATGTAAATAAAGTTGAGTAAAGACGAGTTTTCGTAATTTTCCCAAAAGGCTATCAAAAGTCCTAGGTCTTTTTGTAAGTGCTCTGGCGTATCTCAAGACTAATTGGAGAATGTGGTTTGGGGCCAAATTAATCATTTTGACGTCGAGAATTATGCACCCAAAAAAAGATTTGAAGTCCTAAAAATAATGTAATTGTAATGCATTGTTTGGGTTATCCATTGTCAAGTATTTGTCCATCTTCCGATTTGACCAATTTTGGATCTTCAAAAATTTCATATTAAAAAGCTAAAATAGAATTCAGACCATTTTCCAACGTTGTTTTGAGATGCACTTGACCTCATAAAGCTTTGGACATACATAAACATCATCTTTCATCAATGCTGATAAAAAGCTTAGAAAGATATCAATTCATACCAGAAATTGCCACTCGACAATCGAAGAACCTTCAAAATAATCGTCAATTATTATAGATCTAAAAAAGAGAAAGAAAAAGGAGTTCCAAGCAATAAACAAGTCTATCTTGCAACACATTATTTAAATAATCTATTTTCAAATGCTCATGATTTGATTTGCACTAGATTAGAGCCTCAATTTCATAAACAAGGATAAAAATAGATTTTTAGATAATTACAAGGGTTTTTGACATGAGCACTACTACGGCACGGTTTTGAGAAATCTTTTTCTTTATCCGTATGCTCAAACCCCAATTAAACAAAAAGCATGGATTTAAAATGAGTCAGGCCTGGAAAAAAGCTTTTGATGCAAGGGTGAAATTCAAACTCTTCAGGAAAGGCTAGAAGCCAAACCTAAGGAATAGTAAAGCTTTATAAAGTCATTTTGCCTAGCAGGTAGTATGCATCTTCATGGATACCACATAGTGCCCAAATAGAAGCAAGATAATGTCATATAATAAAAATATAATTTAGATGTGGATTTGTATTTCAAAACCTAGTGATCTAGATTCACAATTGCCAATTTGGACTGGGATTTGGCCATGAAAGTAAGTAACCGGATTACCAATTTGGACCCAAGAGCTTCTCTTTACATAGATTAGATTACATTAATAGTTATGATTTGGATAATGATCCATGGTTACATGGTCACATGAGTAGTGATGATACGGATAATGATCCATGGTTATATGGTTACATGATATGGATAATACATGGATATGGATAAGTGTTACAACTTCGACGTTCTTGCTTCTTATCTCTTACACACCCCCTCAAGCGGATCATGGGAAGGACCAACTGTCAACTTGTGTCGAAGGGTTAGGAATCTCATTGTAGGGAGGCCTTTAGTGAAAATATCTGCAGTTTGTTGGTTCCTTGTTAGAAATTAAACTACGAGTTCTTGAGAGACTCGTTCTCAAACAAAGTGATAATCTATTTCAATGTGTTTGATAGGTGCATGCATAACAAGATCTAGAGCAAAAAATATAGTACTGCAGTTGTCACAAAATAGAGTAGGAGAGGATTTATGAAAACGAAGGAGATCATGAAAAATAAATTATATCCATTAAAATTCGGATTCAGTGAGACAAGGAAGCGATATTCAACTTCAGTACTTGATCGTGATACCATTAGTTGTTTCATTGATGCCCACAAGATCAAATTAGGTCCAAGAAAAACACATAATCCTAAAGTAGAGCGGCAATCATCATGACAACCTGCCCTGTCGGCATCTGTGAAAGCACAGAGAGAAAGATAAGATGATTTAATAATTCGAAAGCCCATGTGAAGAGAAAGCTTGAAGTATCGCAGGAGATGAATTGAAGTAGAAGCATGCATAAATTGGCATGTCTAATTTGCAACATATGAGATGTCAGGCCTTGTTATAGTACATATTATAGTGCCCCTGACAATACTATGATACAAAATTATATCAGGAACTAGTTCACCGTAGTAAAGGGAGAGCTTCGATCCAGAGCATATTGGACTTGAAGTTGGCTTTGCACCTAGCGTATTTGTGTGCTTCAATAAATCAACAATGTATATAGTCTAGGTGAGCACAAGTGCATTGTGAGCATGTTGAACCTCCATTCCTAAGAAATAGTGGAGATTTTCAAGGTCTTTTGTATTAAACCGAGAACTTAAAGAAGAAATAAGAGCTGAAATTTCAGTTGTACTGGAACCTGTTAGAAGTATGTTATCGACATATAGTAATAAAATTAGAATGCTTTGATAATTATGACGTACGAACATTGAGGAATTTGAGTAACTGCATATGAAGCCCAACTCTTAAGAGAAATTTGCTAAAACCATAAAACCATGCCCGGAGTGTGTTTAAGGCCATAAATAGCCTTGTAAGGCTTATATTCTTGGGAAAACATGATCGGTAAACCCTGGAGGTTGTTGCAGATATACCTCTTCAGGGAGCAGACCATGGAGGAATGAAGTTTTGACGTCAAGTTGTTTGATCAACTATCCTTGCAAAAATGCAACAGTAAGAACAAATCAGATAGTGCTTTGCTTGACAATGGAAGTAAACGTTTCACCAAAGTTGATCCCATGTTGTCATGTAAAGCCTTTGGCAATGAGGCAGGCCTTGTAGTGCTCAATCGTCCCATCTAACTTCTGTTTGATCTCAAGTACCCATTCACGCCCTACCATGTTATGAGAGGACGGCAGAGGTACTAGAGGCCGCATATTATTTTTTAGAAGTGCAACATATACCTCAGTCATGGCCAAACACCATCTCGGATCAGAGACAATTTCTTTATAATTGGCTGGTTCTCTATAGTCTAGTTATGAGATACAACATGCCAAAACCAGATCTTTGGTGGCGGTAAACATTTTTGTGTTTTTCGAGTGCCATCCTGACTCCTAATAATCATATGATGACGAGAATGTAGGGATGGTTGAACAGGCAACTGTTGTGTAGATGGCGAGCTAATTGGCAAGTCATTATGCAAGGATGGATTACTTTGGTTGAAGATATTGGGCATATAGAAGGTTGAGAGGCTTGGGCAGCCTGTGTTTGGAAAATAGGTTGGGTTGCTGGGTGCGGAGGAGGTACAATTGTATTTGTTATAGGGTATTTTTGACACACTTATCTCCTCGACATGGATAGAGGAGACAATTGCGACCTAGACCCGCAAGTGCCAAATATGCTTAAGAAATATAGAAGCCCGTGATTAAATACGCTTAATTTTGGAAAAATTTAAAAAGTGTTATCTTGGCTTCAAAAGCCATGTGAAAGTGGAATTTGATGCCCCAAAGATGCCCACCAAGTTTCTTTTCAATTAGACAAAGATACAGCAGAATAGAATGCAATTTCATTTCCAATTCCTTTATCTAACATGCACAAAATATTTCATAACTAGAGATATATTGTCAAGGTCTCTGGTGGTCCTCAGACCACCACAAACAAACTCAGAAGGCCCAAAACCGTAGAATACCAAGTTTTGGCTCATTCGGACCCTTCTGGGCCTGACTTTCCTAAAATGTGTAGGCCTTACACTATTTATGAGGAGGTTCAACCAGTTTCCATATATGAAAACTGTGTTTTTTAAAAACGGGATTTCTTATGAAGGTCACATCTTTTTCATTTTAAGACCAATTGACCCCAAATTTTAATATGTTGTTCGTCTCATTAAGATACATGTTTGTATAGAGCTTGGGGGCTATAAACAATCAAATTAGAGCCCACCTTCAAATAGGGTCGAGAGATGTGGTTTCAATACTGAAAATATTTGTGGCAGCTTTAAAATATATTTTCACCTTTATTTATAGGGTAAATACCTCCATATCCCCTATTTTTGCCACCTTTTCCTTAAGCGACCCAAGGATTTAGATTCTTTCTAGTTGCATAAAGTCTCTATGTTTTCTATCTTCCAACCCCCTGGACCTTTTTTACCATGTATTCTTGTCTTAAATAATTTAGAGAATGAATCCCTTCCATTCAAAAGATAACACCCCGTTCACCCTTAACCTATGTTGTGTATCTGTCTCTAATACCCCAACCCTAGAGCCCACCCTTCCCATCCTCTCTCTCTCTCTCTCTCTCTCTCTCTCTCTCTCTCTCTCCTTTCTCTCTCAAATAACCAATCGTAGAGCCCGCCCTCCCCATCGTCTCTCTCTCTTCTCTCTGTCTATCAAGACTTTATCTCTCTCTCTCCGCCCCTCTCTCTCTAATACCTAAATTGCAGAGCACATTTGATTCTCAAATCTCAAATACACAAATCACATAGCACATTTGATTCCTAAATCTCAAATAACCAAATTCCAGTGCACATTTGATTCTAAAATCTCAAATACCCAAATCGCATAATCAAGGAGAAGGGTTTACCTGCCTATATGCATTATTCCTAATTTCTATATTTTTTCTTTTGTAATTAAGCTAGTGTTATTGGCATTGGTATTTATTTTGTCTATTTTGTTAATTTTTTTGCTATTGGTAATATTCGTGGGTTCCATTTTGTTGAACCACAACTACATATGGAGTGTGGTTGACCACACAATGGTGTTTATATTCCAAGTCTTGATGTTGGTAGATAATAGGCTGGCTGCTGGAATGGGTTTGTAAGTAAGTCTACTACTATTGTGGTGTTTTTAAATTTGTGTATTCCTTTTGTTATCAATCTCGTATAAAAAAGTTCTTTTAGACTTCATTTGTATAGAAAAGCTCTTCTAGACTTCATCTGTTTACATGTTGTAATGAATTGTAACTGCATTTTGATTTGTAAGACAAGATAATGCTTTTGATGCAATGAATTAAAAAAAAAAAAACCTAAGAGAATGGTTTTTATGCTTTAATGCATTTCAATCTCCAAGTTGGATGGCTTTTTGTGATTATGTGATGCCACTATTTTGCTTGTATTCCCTTGGAATCTGCAACCTTTTTCTAATGGTATTTTTAGCAATAAAAAGAAGAGCCAAATGATGGAGTTCTGATAGAGAGAGACGATGGGGATGGTTGGCACTGCGATTAAGTTATTTGTGTGTGAGAGAGAGGGGTGTGAGAGAGAGAGTGACAAAGTTTAGATAGAGAGAGACAATGGGGAGGCTGGGCTATGTGATTGGGGTACTAGAGAGAGATGATGAGGTTGGGTTGTGCATAGAGAGAGAGATGGAGTGAGTTTTGAGAAGTAGGTTATATATATATATATATATATATGGGAAATATTTATCTAGACAGCCAATGCTTTAAACAATCAAATTTGAGCCTACATAAAAAATTTCACTAGACGAGGTTGTTTTTGTTGGGTTTAGTGATAGCTAAATCACCATACCCATATTTTTTAAAAAGATTAGGGTATTATAGAAAATAAAAAATTGACTTTCTTGAGAAAGAAGAAACTAATATCTTTTTATAAGAGAGTGAATGATGACATAATACACATCCTTTTGAAGGTCAACCTTTGGGGGTTACGGGAATAGATCTTCAATATGGAGATAAGTAACTAAGAGAGAGATACATGACCTCCAAGAGAGAGACGATATTCCTATAAGTTTTGAGTTGGTTAACTTCTACTTCTAGAGAGAGAAAATCTCTATTTTGCTCTCGATATTATCTTTTCCGGTAGTGGCATTGCAGTGGGAAAGAGGTTGATCAACGGTTTTTCTCAATCGGGAGAGCCGGTTTAGAACGGAGGATCGATGATAGTTTTTTACCGATGTTTAGAGATAGATATTATCTCTTGTAGCTCAAAACTGTAATTTTCATTGTGATAGTGGATTTCAAATTGCCGAGATCGTGGATGTAGCCCTACGGGGTAAATCACGTAAATCGTATATTGTTGTAGTGTGCTTTTTATATTTGCTCTATTTCTTACACTCAATTTATAGTTGTATTCATCTACTTTGCATTTGCCCAATTGAGTACACGATCTTGGGTGGGATCCGTGTGTGTGGGATTCCTGATTTCGGAAGCTAAGGGGTTCATGAGAACCCTACAGTTTTGATGTCCAAATATCCTCAAATTAATCATCTCGACATCAAGATGCATGGACATGAGAAAAAAATAGATTTCAAGTTTTGAAAATAGTGCATCTTGCAACTCATTTTTGGACCGTCAATTTTCAAGATTTTATAGATCTATTCCATCCACGCTAATTTTGAAGCTTTAAATTTTATAATTAAAGACAAAACTATATTTTAAGGCAATCACAAAGACTTCCAATATTGAAACGACATTTCTCAAAACTATTTGAAGCTATGCTTTACTTTGATTGTTTAGAGCCTCGGCTCCACACAAACCGCACCCTATATATACATGTAAAACAAAATCAAATCAAAACTTGAGTTTTAAAAACCTAGAACTAAGCCAAAAAAGAACAAGCGGTTGAGACTCGAGAGTTCTAAATTGAGAGCATTTTGAGAAAAGATTATTAAAAAAAAAAAGAGTGTAAATTTTTAAAATTGCAAGGCATTTTTAAATACCACAAAAAATTAGATTTCTTTTCTAAAATCAGGGATATCAAAGCACCATTTTACCAAACATACCCCCAGGTATTGGTAAAATGGTACTTTACCAATACCATTTAATACATAACATTTGCTATTTTAAAAATGGTAGAGGACTACATAAGGTACCCACCTTATACTATATAAATAGGATGTACCTTTAAATTTCAGAAATTTAAATTTCAAAAAACCAATAAAGACCCAATAAATTTATAAACACTTAAAATCCTAAAAATAGACGATTCAAATGACTTATTATAAGATTCACTATTTTTAAAACTTGAAATTATTAATATTTTCTTTATATTTATATATCTTGAGGTTCAATGATCAATTGGAAGGTTTTGGAACTTCATAACAGTCTTTTTTACTAAATTATTGAGGTACACCGTAATTCTCTAATATAAGGTTGCAACCTAATATAAACTTTTCCAACAAATTATTTTTAAGATTGATCCGTATCCTAAAAATATCCCTAGATTGAAGGTTACCTGAGCGAGCAAATTGACAGTATGCTCCCGTAGGAGCAGTGTAATTCTATAGTATGCTCAAGCTTGAAGTTTTCCCTTCAATTTTCCTCTTCGCACTGGTTACTCATGGGCTCTCTGAACCCATTTCGCCATTGCGTCTGTCTCTTTTTTCCCTCTAACCAGTCGGATGCGGTGTAGTGAGAGAAAGAGAGAAGTGGAGAGGAGGTGGTGAAATGGAGGGAGGCACGCGCATGGGAAGCAGGTCTTCGACTCGCTATGGACCTGCGGCTGTGTTCACAGGGCCAGTGAGAAAGTGGAAGAAGAAATGGGTTCATATCTCTCCACCTAACTCTAACCCCACCTCTTCAACCCACCTCCGCCTCTACAAATGGACGGCTTCTCCATCAACCACCAAAGATGATGACTCTGCAACTCCTCCTGATACCACTACTACTCCTACTCAAGAAGAACCTCCTCGTCGCAGAGTCCGTTATGTCCCTGTGAGATTCTCTCTTGTTTTCTGACTCTCCTCCTCTTTTTCAGTCTCTGTCTCTCTATTGTTTTCATTCTTTCTTGGGGGATCCTGATTTTGAAAGGAAAAATTGAATAGTTTGTTGGAGGTTCCTGAGGGTGAAAGGAAAAATTGAATAATGGGTTTGGCATTCCGGCGGAGATTTTGGGTTGATTTTAGATGAGAAATTGGGAAATATTGGGGTTTTGTTGCATTGGGTTGGTTAGTTTGTTTGCCATTGTCCTTGTTTTTTCCTTATCTCCATTGTCCTTGTTTTTTCCTTATCTCTCTCTATCTTTATTGTTTTCTTGTGGAATTTGGATTGATTATATCATTTTGGGTTTATTAGTGCTGATGCCCTCTCTTTCTTTCTCATTGTTTCTTGGCAATTGTGAAGTTTGGAACTTTAACTGATTAGATTATTCTAGTTGCAAGGCAGTGACCTACCTAAATAAATAAAACCTGCCCCAAACTCAAATTAGTGATATATTTATGTCAAAGAAGTGAAACTGGATAACATATTTGTGTTCAAGTCTAATGGCTTTCAATTTGAGAGAGACCCAGTTTTTGTGTTGCTGATGAGCTCTTGTATTTTGATAATTACAATATAAATAGTCTTCACACGTTTTGGATGTACAACATTATTGATACCCTACTTTTGGCTAATAAGACTGAGCCAGTGGACTTGAATACTTGATACTTTAAGGATTTGTTATACCACTCGAATTCCCTGATCTTAGATAAAAGACGTCAATGAAGACTGAATATGAAATTCCGGAGAGTAGTAAATAAATGCAATGGTTTCTACACTTGCAGTTTTCTCAATGACTTTCTTTTCAGTTATGGAGAAATGGACAACATTCAATCATTGTTTTTTTTTTGATGAAGTTAACTATTGCATTAAAAAAGAAAAAGATTACAGTATATCATTGAGAGGGCCCACATGTCGGGCAAAATAGGCTACCAAACACCAGGAGCCCTGTACAAAAAATTGGTGGGGCAATAAGTTTACCCAATTATGAAGGATATACAAGAAACGGCAAAATACACAAGTAGTGGTCCGAAGCAAAAAATGGGACCAAGACCCAAAGAAGTGGCTAGACAAAACTCGAAGCTTTTGTGGATCTGCTACTTGAACCCTAGTGCCCTCCTTAGCCAATTGGTCTACCAAGGCGTTGGACGTCCTCTAGATATGCTTCCATGAGACGGCTATATCCCTGCAAATATGCATAATCTTATAAAAAATCGGGGCCAAGTACCAGGCAAGGTTTCAAAAAACGCTACGCGGCCGGCCTGACGCCCAGCGTCCTGCGCCCAGGCGGGCGCCTAGAACCTTAGGCACCCTGTTGTACAAGTTATATAGATATGTAGTATATATACATATATTTGTGTCAATTTTAGAATTTATTACATTTGAAAATATTGTAACACATTTTTTATGTACAAAAATATGACATATCGCATGTTGAGAATAAATTTGTTCAAAATTTCAAAATTCAAACAATCCTAAATTTAAAAATCTAATAGGATATGTATTAGTAATAGTCTCCAACTCTCCATACTTCACAATAAGTGAAAAGGTTTAATAAGGTTCTTCGAACCACAAAAAATACTTTTGATTCCCAGACAGATATAACTAACAGATTGAGGGTTTATGGAATTTTTCTTTTAACTTTGGGCGTTGAAAATAACCCCCATAACCTATTTAAACCTCAAAATTACCTCATTTTCCCTTTCGGGTATTTAAAAAAAAAAAAGCCATGTCCCTGGGCGCTCACCTGGGCACTCGCCCAGGTACATTCGTCCATGTAAGGCTGCCTGGGTCTGGGTGTGCGGTATTTTGGTCTAGGCCACCTAGGCGCCTGGCGGACTGTTTTTTAAAACATTGGTACCAGGGAGGAGGGGCATTTCCAGCAACTTAAGAGATAATGTTTTTGTCATCTCCTTCAGCAATCAGTGGTAATCCCCACGAGGAATCAAACAATTTGAGGTCTAGGAGGAGATCCATAGACTCTGCGTGGCCAATATTCTTGGAAAAGGAGGCCAGAATGTTGCCATGGTGATCGTTGAAGACCCCACTTGCTCCTGCTGGTACTGGGTTACCAAAGGAGCATCCATTGAAATTAAGTTTGGTAAGGCCTGCCGGGGGAGGAGACTGGTTGTTGCCTCGTGAGACCCGAGGGGAGTGGAAGTGGAGAACTTCTTCCCAATTTTGTACGAAAGGAATTCAATCATTGTTTTAAATTCATCTCTTTTCGATTTGCAAATATCTTGGAGAAATTCCCTTTTATTCAGCTCCCTCCCTTTTGCAAATTTCTTGTATAAAATCCCCAAGAGTGTATTTTGTTTTAGAAATTTTAGGAATCAAACTTGGAAGTTACTTGACTTAGACTTGTTTGTGAAAATGAAGAAAAGGAGAACATAAGGGTCATGAAATACCAGCCGTTCAACCATAAGGTGGTTGCTCTTCGTAAACCACAATTTATTATAATGTATCATATAAAACCTTGATTCGAATTTAGAACGAACACAAGGAAGTTATGCAAATGCATTGTTTTTCTTGGTTAGACTGTTGCGAGAGCAGTATGTTATTATTCTTTTTCGATTTGTAATGGGAAAAAAATGCATATTACCAGGATCTCCTACTTTGGTAGGCGATCCCTTCTAGGATCTCGATTCTGTCACTCCAGGAACGGATCTCTCAAGGGTCTCGATTTTTAAATTTTGGGTTCTCGAACCCCACTCATAGGGATCTTGATTCCTACTATTAGGGATCTCAATCCCAACCTTAAAGACCAAGACAACAACCAAATTGATGATTTTCTTTGTTTATAGCCAACTAGCAACACAACTATTGCTTGCTATCAATAATAAAATCCGTACTTTAAAGAGTATACATAATCCTAAATGATCGTACACTTTAAGGTTGATAACAAGATCCCCAAAAAGTTGCGATTAAGATCCCAAAAGGTTGGGATCAAGATCCCCAAAAGGTTGGAATCTCGATCCCTAACATTTGAGAATCTTGATCCCTAACATGTGCTTTGTACGGAGTGTGTTCCCAACCATAGGGATCTTCTAGCATTTCACGATCCCTCACTCTCACTCCTGATCCCAACAACTATGGAAAAATGTTATGGGATATCATTCATTTTCGATAGGAAAAGTAATTGTTACCATGAGTGACAATATACTTTGCATCACTTGACAACTGGGTATGGAGGGATCAGGTTTCCCATGTTCCTTTACCAAGGAGTCCACCACTTTGTTTTACTGCAAAATAGGTGATTGGAAAAGGTGATAGGCTCATTGAAGGCGTATTTCAAACATCCCAGAGGAAAAATACAAATTCTTTGGGATAGGGGAATTGCAACAAGCTCATCTAATCATATCAATAAAAGAGCCTTCTAGCTCAAAGGGGCACAAGAATGGTTATTTGATTGCTTTAAGACTGTAACATCAATAAGAAGAGCTTGGCTTTTGTTATCCAAGACTTAGCAAATGCTTAGGGCCCTTTAAGCATTCTCCTCCACAGTTGTGAAAGACATTGACCACCTTGGCAGGCCATGAGTTATCCTTTGAGCTGCCATCAAAAATAACTTTTAAAGTGCCTTATGACGATAGCTTTGGTGTCAATGTATTAGATACATAGAAGATAATTAACCTCCAACTTGAAAAGTATAGAGAAGAAGAGAGAAGAGATTCACACAGTATTCTACCATGAAAACACACACTAGGGCAATGCCCTAAGTCGTGTATTATAACATATATAATGTTGCATCTTGAGTAATGACAAATTTGGTAGTAAATGACTTTACAAGATATAAGACACTTAAAATACACAAATTACAGAACTTTCCTTCTTTGCATTCTAACGGGGCCCCTCAAGTTGTACATCATTTTTGAACATGTACAACTCGTTCTTAAAGAACTTGTGTCTATCTTTTTGAATTCCTTTTGTGATTTTCAGCCCCACTATAGCGAACATCTATCTCCTCATCTTCAATTTTCCTATGAACGAAATGATAATCTCTCTGCATGTGTTTAGTGCGATCATGAAATATTGGATATGATGAAATTGCCAGAGCACTATTTTTGTCACGGTAAACTGTTGATCTGTATATATTTTTTCCAAGAAAAGAAACAATATTTCGTATCCATGAATTCTCATAAACTGTACTTGCAAGTGCTTCATACTCAGCCGTAGTACTAGATTCTGCAACATTTTTTTGTTTCTGACTCCTCCATAAATTAGATTTCTATCAAGAACGGCACAATATCCTGAAAGTGACCATCTAGAATCTGGATCTCCAGCCCAATCTACATTAGAGTACCCAACAATAGAAGCAATATTCAATTTATTCATGTTGTTTCTTTCATAGAGCAGTCCATGATTTATTGTTCCCTTTACATATCTGATTATTCTCTTCAATGCTTCCATGTGAGTGTCAGTGGGAGTGTGCATTAATTTACACACTTGGTTAACAACATATGATATATCAGGCTTGGTGAGAGTCAGATACAATGACACCCCTACTGAACTTCTGTATCTCTCTGGATTATTTAACGATTGTCCTTCAAATGTCGTTAATCTTTTATTCAGAGTAGGTGGTGTATGACATGGCCTGCAATAAGTCATATTTTCCTTTTCAAGAAGGTCTAGAGCATACTTTTGTCGAGTCAACCAAATTGGATTCTCATTTAGATCTACTTCAATTCCCAGGAAGTATCTCAACTGACATAAGTCTTTCATCATAAATCTATCATGCAAAAGTTTCTTGACATCATCGATCAGATGTATTGAACTCCCAGTAATTATAATGTCATCAACATAAAGCAAGATGATAATAACATATTTCTTATTGTGACAAATAAACAATGAATGATTTGATGCTTCCTTGATAAATTCCCCTTTCTTATGAGTGTTTTCAATTTCACGAGAGTTTTCCTTTGGACTATCTTGTTGCTGCCCTTCATACCTTCTTCCTT